ATTGTGGTCAGACTTCTTAGCAGACAGCTACAGCGTAGTGTCCGTGGCTGAACTTATTTGCTAAATGGATCTGAAGTTGAGCTGATCCTGGCACAGCTTAGCCTGACCGACTTGGCAGCTTCATGCAAAACAACGTAGAGCTCAGTCTAATCAGGACAGTGGAGGTCCATCTGTGGTGACTTGTCCTTAGTCTATCAGCGTGACCCCACAGAAAACAATGACAGCTTAAAGGGGAATTTAAAAATTTCTGCAGAAATAAAGGGTTAGGATGTAAACAAATTCACTCAGAGTGGTTTGACGTGAAACACACAGTTTTAGAGAAACTGAGCCAGAACCGTTTACAGTGGTGGTGATAGGAACCAGAAGTCTGAAGAGTTTAATGGCTTAAAACTTTTTCAAATACATTCATGGCTAGAGGTGCATGCAGGGTGTTGAGGCAAAATAGTCCTCAAAGAAAACAGTTTTTCAGATATACCACCAATTATTACCAGTGTTATCAACATTACTGGTCATTTTAAGTAGTAAATAAATGTATTTCTGTTGTAGATATCACCACCCCTCGTCCCTATTAGCCAGCACTGTAGAGAAATCCCAAAAAACATACAGGAAAAAAGTGTGTATGTTTATCTACAATGAACCATTTCACATCAAACCACTCTGAATGACTTTGTTTACACTGAAATGATTGGACTGAAAATAAAAAAGTGGTGAAAATTCCTATTTAATATTTTACTTTTATGCTGTTTATCAGGATGTCAGTATAAATAACATTGCATTTGCAAAATACAAATGCAATTGCATTTTTCTCTTTGTGACTTTGGTATCTCTGAATTACATGGTAATTTTACTCATTTATGAATTACGCTCCACGAGGTTACATGTTAATATGTAACATGGCGTTGCTGATAAAAAGACACAGAAATCTGTCCTAAAAAGGAGAAGAAATGTTGTTTGATATTGATGAGTTCAGCAGTGATGGGGTGCATATGAGTGAAGCCCATTCAGCATTGTAAAGCTAATACGTCAGCGGTCAGCTCTTTGTCTCGGCGGGGTCCCGGCGGGGTCCCGGCGGCTCCTGCAGGGCCGGTACAGTATGCTAAAGCTTTCAGCACACCCCAGGCAGCTCAAAGCCTATGACATTCAGATGGTAATACCTCCGAAAAGCTTTAGAATCCTCCTAACTTTGCATTTAACAGGGCAAAGAGAGAGAAAGAAAGAAAGAAAGCAAGAAAGAAAGAGACAGAGATTAATCCTTGATATGGGAGTTTCACAGATAGGACAAGTGAATAATTAAGCACATTCAGACTTTTTGGCTTCTTGGAATGACTTGTCATAAAAATGTCCTTTTTATGTATGTATAGTGTAAGCTGAGATATTATATAGTAGACACCAAAGGGTATTTTTAGGTGTTTTATTTGATATTTCTATTATTATTATTATTATTATTGTTCTATATAGAACAAGAAAAAATTAAAAATTATACACTGTAATTTGAACTCCTCCAGTCAGATTTCAAGTTTTAATGATTTTTCGAGTGAAAACAAGATAGTAACACATCCTCTACACAGAAAAAAAACTTGGTTCCACAAATCTTAGTGCCCAATTTCTGTTTATTCGCTGAATTTAACATCTTGAACAAATATTCATATAATGTGGTATCACTTTTGTGCAGGCCACATTTTATGTTCATTTTTTTTCCCCGATATGTTAAATTTAGCTAATGAAAATGTGTTAATTAAGCATGCAATTTGCCCAGGGGTGCTCAATCTTTTGCATACTAATGTATGTTTACAGTACATTTTATGTACTTGGAGAATCAACCACCACTTTTGAGATATGAGGCATTGCAGATGTTCGTTCCATCAGCTTTCTCAGTCATTTTAGAAACATTTACAGCTCCATCCATCACTCTGGACTGATTGCACAGAACTCACAGATTAGAAAGATTTTACTCTTTTATCTGCATCCAGATTGGTTTAATATGATTGAAAACAGTGACTCTATGTGTCTACACGGTAGCCTTTACATGATTTGTTTTGGTTGCTGTTCGAAAATTTCAAAACGGCCTCCTGCCTCGAATCAAAGCACGAACTCTTAACCTCACTATCAGACTAAACAATGTCTGTGCAGTAAGGGGAGGGCAAAAAAAACCCTCCAAATCTTCCAGCACTCCTCTTTTTCCGGCTCTTCTGCCCGCGTGCTCGTGCACTGCTGACCCCTGGCCGGTTTGGAAGGCCGCTCTCTCCACAAAGAGGCAGCCAGGCAGCGCAGGCTTTTCAAACCCAGCATTCTGCACTGTAATCATACTGTCTCATAGAAGAGTAAATGGCATGTCAGATGGTTTGAATGGCCTGTTCTTGACTCCGCTGTAACGACGGGCCTGAGGAACTCCCTCTCCTGTGGAAAGAGAAAAGGCTCTGGGCCATGACCCTGCTTTTATGACTTGAACTCTCCATTAACGGCCTCCAGCCCCGGCAGTTGACCCCGCCGCATTCTCCAACAACTGCAGCGTTTTTTTTCACCGCTGCTCTGCCTCTCTCACTACACCTCACTCTATATCTCTCTATTTCTGTCTCTATCTCTGTGTAGAAATCTGCTTCAGATACTGCATTAAGGTTTCTGTAATGATGATTCTGTCATTTTCCACTTGATTTCTTCAGTTTTCCCACAATAATCAAATCACACTTACAGGAAAAGACTAGGATAGAGGTGATATGAACATAATGACTGAGCAAATGTTGCTCAAGGTTGATTTGAGTTAGGTTAAATCATCAGTTCAGCATTAAAATCTGAAAGACAGATACTCGCCAAGTCCTTAAAAGACCTTAAAGGACATGAACAAAGAAACAGCCTCAGATTGATTCCTCAAACCTGAGATAAATGAAGACATGGAGGGCGTTTCCCCCTCAGATAAAGTCTGCGTTTTGGCCGACAGGCTGGGTGAAAATTCCCCATTCAGGGCTGAACGCGCGTGTCGGCCCTTTCTCTCGTCTCCGTGGGGTCTGTCACTCGGCCCTGCAGGGGGATAGAGTGTCCAGCAGGCCGCTGAAGGCTCAGCGAGCGGCGGCTGGAAGGGATCTCATCACAGTGGGGGGAAGGGAGGGGAGGGGAGGGGAGTGAGAGAGAGAGAGGTTTTGTGTTTCCGTAGCTCTGGGTTTGAACCCTCTTCCTGCCCAGTCAGCCATGACGCAGCGGCCGGCCATGAGCCAGCAGGTTCCCTTCATACACACGCCGTTCACTGTCGCCATGGCACCCATCTGGTTAAAGGCCTTTTATTTTTTTTATTTCTTTATACGTTTTATAGGTTGTATGTTTATGTTCTTCATAGTCTGAAAATAGGTAAGACTGACCTTGATTAAAATTGAACTAGAGCACGCAGTTGAAACTCTGGGTTTCCTTGGCGCTTTTCTAGAAATGAAAAAAAAAAAATTTAAAAAGCCAGTGATGTATATGCAGTACGCTTTCAGTGAAGAGCTGTGTATTTAGGCTAAGGCTATATGGCAAAAACACAAGGTCACTGTACTTCAAGAAATGTTTATCATACATGATATGCGTCACAATACAGTTTTTCTAAGGTTTAAAAACAGAACCAGTGCCACGTTTTAAAAATATAATCAAAACTAAGAATACAGTGATTTTCAATGAACACTTCACTTACTGCCATACACCAAATTCAGTTTAGCAGGACTATTTATGCTCCCTTTGTAGTGAAACATGCAGTCAGTCGGGCCTCATTCATCAATATCTTCTAAGTTTTTTCTTAAATGTGTTCTTGAGAAAAGTCCTAAAAAAGTCTGTCAGATTCATGATGTTCTTAAAGCGCAGAATTGTTCACACTTTTGTGCTCTTGAATGTGTGTAGATTCTGTTCTTACCTAAGAACAAATCCCAAATAAGAAAACATTGATAATGTCAGAATCTTAAGTGGGTTTTAAGAAAAAATTTCTCTGTAAGATCTGTTGGTGAATGAGGCTCAATGTTCTTAAAGTACTGATGATATCCACAATATGCTCAGAAAAGTATTTTTTGACATAATTTCTAATTTATTATTTTTATTTATTATGAATTTCTAATAAAATACTTTTATTTTGATAAATAATACATTCACAAAAGTATGTACTTCATCTCTGCCATAGACCACCTTCATTGCACTTATATCTGAACCTAAGACTTTTTTCACTTAGAAATTAAGTTTGGTTTAGCTAAATTAAGTCTACTCCTCCATAACTGTTGCATATTTTAATATAGGTCCTGTTCTCCCTCCCTGCCCTTTCCAGCACAGTGGTTACAGTAATTTGACTCTGCAGTTAATGCAGGTAGAGAGTAACACACCCTTTTAAATTTGGAGCTCTGAATGAGTTGCTGTTCGTGATAACACCTCCTGCTGGCTGCTCTGACTGAGAGAGTGCAGGATGCTGTTTCAGCATGAGACAGGAATGAGAGATGAGTGTGTAATGAGTCATAATGGAGTGAGAAGGCGGTCGTGCTTCAGCTTTTCTGTCAGTTCTACATGAATTAGTCATGCGACATCTCTGAGTTTCGGTTTTAGCTATTAGAGACGAGGCCACGGAGCCTCAAGGCCTTTCAGCACTTCAGGAGGCACAATACTGTGCAAAAGCCTGAGGCCTCCTCCGAAAATTGAATTTAAAGCCTTTTATCTGTGCAGTTAGCTTTTATCTGCTAGGAAGAACGTAGTACCTTTACAAATACATACAAATACACATTAATTACAGTACATTGTGATCTGTCAGTTTCTTAAGCATTTACAGACGTGTCCTTGAGTTGAGATCTGTACATGGAATTGTTACTTTAAATTCTCCTTCATTTGTTACTTTGCGCTGTATTAATGTTTATTAAGGCTTATTCTAAAGTTATACTGTGTATAATTTAACAGAAACACACACTTACTGCCCAGATAGTTTAATAACTGTATCAAAAACGATTAATCTCTTTTTTACACATATTAACAGAACTCTCTCATTTTCTCTCTCTCTTTCACAG